AGAGTGAGACACCAACTCAAAAAAAAAAAAAAAAATTTTACGACAGAAGTATTATTTAACCCAGTGCCTTGTTTTATTTTTTCTATTTTTTTAATTTTTTTGAGTTGGAATCTCACTGCCACCGCAGCCTCCACCTGCTGAAGTTAGGTGATCCTTCCGCCTCAGCCTTCCAAGTAGCTGAAACTATAGACGCACGCCACCACATCTGGCTAGAGCACCTTGTTTTAAAAAGGAATTCGGATTTTGGGGAAGAACATAACTGGATGGCAAGTATGCAAACTGAAGTATTTCAGAGAAGCTCCCATCGGTGGGAACTAGCTATCAAGGGTGGCAGGCTGAGCAGCTCCTCCTCACGGTGCTGCAAAGGGCTGGCCTAGCCACTAAGGGATGAGTGGGTAGGACCCCAGGAGGAGCAGGCATGTCTGCTCTTCCTAATGCAAGGAGAAGGGGAGCCTGGTAAATGGAAAGCTGGTTAAGAAAACGTGAAGGAGTCAGACTGGACAGTCTAGGATGGAGGTGGCATCTCAGTAAGGAAGAATACATTTTACCCTTTCTAGCTTGAAAAGGTATCTAAACAAAAAATAGAGAGGAGGGAGAAAATGCTTTGATAAACTTACACACCTAAAGACATGAAAGTAACTGAGTGCAGTGTGAACATACAGGGGCTGGGAACATATTATCTGGAGAGGAACATGGCAGGGGCCACAAAAATGGGGACCTGAGGTTTGACACACAATCAGAAAGGTGGCTGCAGAGTTGTCCCTGAGTTCAGGAGAGATGGAAGGTGGTACAGAGGGGCTGCCTACTTTCCAAGATTCAGACCTGTCAGTTCTGGCCAGTGAATGAACATGACCAAGGAGAGTGATGCAAATAGTCCCAATGCAGAGGTCCAGGCCAGAAGCCACACAAAACTTCAGAAGAGGTCAGTGAGATGGTCAGGCCAGGAATCTTTAAGACCTAGATCCAAAAACTTAGGAGCATGCAGGAGATTTACATGTGTGGATGTATACAAGCATGTAAGCATACAAGGTGTGTGTGGGCCCAAGCTTCGTGAGAGCATACAACTTGTACACAGTTGTGTATGAGTGTGGCCCTGAGTTCCACTAAGGATATGTAGTTTGCAAGGACAGGCATAAGAACTGCATGACAGTGTCTAAGACCCTCACGTATGTGTGCCAGGCCAGTGGGATGAACATGCACAGGCCTGAGGTGTCAATGTGGGGCTCCACCTGCAGCAGATGAGAAGTCAGAAGGGAAGGAAGGAAAGGGCTCACCTGCGGGTGGGCGAGGGGGGTCGCAGTGGTACCAGCACAAAGCCTATGCTCTGCAGATACTGCACGTACTGCTGCAGGAAAGACAAGCTCAGCTCCTTCAGCCAAGGTTCCTCACGGGCTCCCGGTGGAGGCACATCCAAAGATTCACAGCTTGCGGGGGCCTCTCGGTTCCCAGACCCTGATTCAGGGCGATGGCGCCGCTGTGGGAATGGAGATTAAGGATGACCCTACCCACTGTCTACTACCCCAATGGGGGTGGAGAAAGGGAGGTCACTGTGGGGTAAACAGAAATTTCGTAAGAGAAATGTGGGAGTCTTGAGCCTCACCTGCCCCTCAGGGGGCCCAGAGGTCTCTGGGGGCCCATGGAGCCAAGCAGCTGGGTCAAAGAGCAGGGCTGTTGCACAGTAATGCACGAGGCGGGATGACTGCTTCAGGGTCTCCAGCTCCCCAGCCTGGGGAAATTGGGGCAGTGAGCCTGGGGCAGTGAGCCTGGAGCAGTGGCCAGGGCAGAGTCACAGGATCCTCGTGGAGGGTGAGGTTGGGGGTCACGTCTTGGGGTCACTCACACTGATGGGCATGCTGGCTGGGGCAGAACGCTGCTGCCAGGTTACAAATAGGTTCTCCATCTTCATCTGGCGCTCTAGCTCTGGGGGTTGGAGACATTAGTAGCAGCCCTAGGTTCTGTCACCCTGCTCCCTCCCAGGCTCCATAGGCTTCCCTTGCCCACCACCCAGCCTTGTACCCTTACCTCTACGCTCTGTCATCTTGATCTCCAAGAACTGTTGTCCATGGTAAGTGACAGGATCAGGAGGTCTGGGCACAGGACCAAATGTGGAGCTGGGGCGGGCAGCTGTGATATCCCTCAGGGCCTCATCAAAGGGAAATGTGTCCAGGGGATGGGGACCCCCACCACGAGAGGACCCACTCAGCCGGCCCTGCTCACGGCTCAGCGGGGGGCTTGCACAGCGGATGAGAGTCTCCACTTCCATGGTCGGTAGTAGGAATGGGTTTGGCTCCTGAGAGGTGGAGCATCACAACAGATTCATGGCCTTAGCCCTTGGGCCCTCTTTCCAGCTCTCCCTCCCTACCACCTCTACCCTCAGCCTGTCCTATCTCTGCTGCTTCCGAGCTAGTTCTTCCTTTAACTGACTCCCCAGTAGCCAGAAATAGAGGAGGAGCCAGAGCAGTAGGCACCTTTTCATCTCGCACTGGGAAGTCCAACTGGCCATAATGATGGAAGAGTCCAAGCTTCTGGCTGAGTAGGCAGAAGATAAGGTGGGCCCGTGCATTCTGCCACTGCACAAGGCGAACCAGTGCTCGGCCCAATGCCGTCCCCAGGTCTGGAGCCCAGTTGTAGGTCAGTAGCTGTAGCTGTAGGTCAGGGGTCAGGGTTAGTGAGATCATACTAACCCCTCATCTTACCCAGTCGCTGGTCCACATTTACCTTCTTGTCTATGACCTCCAGTAGCAAGAATCTCTGCCGGGGAGCATTTCTCCCTGAGATCCCATCACCTCCTGACTCGAAGCGCTGCATGGCTTTGGCAGCTATAGGGTGGGGGGAGGGGCACAATGGAGGTCTGGGGTAGATTCCCTCCTAACCCTGCCATCCCCCCTGCAGGGTCAGAGAATATTCCATCAGTTATTACTCTGGGCTCACCCTCACCTTGCTGGGTTGGTCTCCTCCACTGCAAGAAATTCCTTCCCAAAAGCAGCAGGTGCCGTTCAGCTGCTGGGCGGGGAGCTGGGCCCACCTGCCCAGGTGAACAAGGATTGAAGATCTCTGGTTCTGAACCCCTGCTGGGAGAGAGGGGTGGACAGAAAGGAGACCATCTATGATGCCATTTCTTGGCTCAGCCTTCACATTCCTGGGCCTAGTTTCCACCTCTTCTGACTCAGCCTCCAGGGGGTTGGCTTTAGGAAGTCCAGGAAGTTCCCTTCAATTCCATGAGATCCCAGACTCACAAATGCTGCTCAAAGACACGAACACTGGTGTCTCCAGCCATTGAAGTGACTAAAGTGGTGAACTCAGACAGGATGGATGGAAGGAGGAAACGGGACACCATATGGGTGGAGCTTCTGGATACTGAGGCGCAACCTGGAAGGCAGAGAAGTCAGTTAGGGACTGCAGAATGGAGACCAGGCTGGGAGTTGAGGGATAGGAAAGGTGGGCGGGAGTCTCACCAATCTGAACCATAAACTCCATCCAACGCCGAGTGACGCAGGCAAACACAGGATTCAGAGTCCCCACCTCACCCTCTTCTAGCTGTGTTGTCCGGCGTCTAAAGACACAGCAGGAGTAAGAGCCTTACATCCATACATGACACGTATATATTTATACAAATGGATGCCCAACAATGACTTCACACTCACACCCTCCTGGGACACCATACCACAACACACACCTTTGTCTCTGGGCTCCAGAATCTGGGCCTGGTGCCCGTTCAGTTCCACCGGGAGTCCGAACACTCTCAGTTTTATGACGCCTCCGACCTCGAGTGTCTTCTGGCCGATCCAGGACAATGTCATCAGTTGTTTTGGGGGAACCCAAATCCCCACATTCCGTTTTACTCTGGGGGCAATGAAGTGAATAAGGAAGGGCTTTTGGGAAGAGGAAGAAGTAGAGAATGGAGGACTGTGGAATAGTAACAGCCCGGAGGAACTGGAGGCCGAGGGTTCAGATCCAGGCTACCCTGGAGATTGACTAAACAGCCTTGGGCAGGTTTCTTAACTTTCCCGAGTCTCACCATCCTCAATGGTAAAAGCTCTACATATCTCACAAGCTATTGTGAGGGTCTGACAAGAAAAATAGAAGTGAAGGTACTTAGTAAGCTGAGACTCTCTCTACAGCAGTGAGAACGAGCTATGTTCTGCAAACTCTCATCCAAAAAAACAGCAGTTTTTTTTTGTCTTTCTTTGTTTTTTAAAGAGACTGGTTGTTGCTATGTTGCCGAGGCTGGAGTGCAGTGGCAATTCACAGGCACAATCATAACCCACTAGGCCTTGAACTCCTGACCTGAAGGGGTCCTCCCACCTTAGCCTTCTGAGTAGCTGGGACTATAGGCGTGTGCCACTGTGCCCAGCAGGACAGAGCAGCTTTATAGCAGTAGTGGGAAACTGTCAGGGGAGGGCAGGGTGGGATTGACAGTTGAGGGAAACTGCCAGGGGAGGGAGGGGCACACCTCACCGACAAGGGTACCTGCATAACGAACACTTGTATACCTAACCCTGAACTGTACCCTACATCTTTAAAATAAAGAAAAAGAGTTCTGTGGCATGGCCTGTAGGGGATTGGGAGGTAGATGGGAGGAAGCAGGGGCTAGGAGGCAGGCAGGAAGGTAGATGCAAACTTCACCACTTCTTCCCATTACCAGCATATCCCAGAAGCTACGCCGGCCAGCTTTGCTGGGTGGAGTCACAGGTTCCCCAGGGATAGGGGCAGGAGGAAAGGGGCTAGCTCGGCCTGCAGAGCTCTTGGTTTCCAACGATCCACTTCTGAGACTTCCTATGGACACAAGACATTACAGATGCCCGTCACTCATCATCAATCCCCATTCCAGACAATCTGGCCTCAAGGCTGGTATGACAGACTTGCCATCTACTCTACATGTTAGTGAATGACAGCATATGCAACTGATGTGCAGCAATATGTGGCTGTGTGATGTGAGCCTCTGATGATTCAGCCCTCTCTTAGTGGGTGACCAGCTAGCTGCTTTTGTCCATTTCTGCCAGTGTATCACCTTGATGATGCACAGACAAGGGAGTGGACAGCTGTGAATATGTATTTCTGATGGGACCTCTGTCACGTTTTCCCCAAACTTCACCTTTGCACCCTCACCTGCCACCGTCCTGCCTGGATTCTCTGGGCCTGCATACCTGGGGGTGCATCCTCTGTACACAGTGAAGCTGGCAGCAGCCGAAGTTCCATAATGGCATCAGCCAGGGCCTGACGTGCTGCTCCTCGGAGCTTCTCCTCCAGCTGCACAATACTAATGTTCCCCTTTTCCCAGACATCCAGTCGAAGCTGTGGGGCCCCATTCTGAGCTGGAGGAAAAAATGGGGGACACATGAGCGTGCCCCTAGCTCCCATTCTACTTGCCACCCTTGCCTCCCACAGCATTTACTGAACGTCCCATCCTCTGACCAAACTGCCCCACCTGAAGAACTGTTCAGCATGACTGGGCAGCGAATGACCTGGGTTAGTTGCTCAAATTCCTCCTCTTGCAGTGGGTCTGGGGGTGCCGGAGAAGAGGGGGGCCACAATGCCAGTGATATGGGGGCCCCTCCTTCATCCACAAAGGCTACAGTGATGCAGGCGACCCCTGGTTAGAAATCCACAGGAAGACTCAGAAGTGGATCGTTGCAGACCTCCCCACCAAATCCCTGTCAGTTGCAAGGCTGGGAAAGTCTCTCTCAGCCACAAGATAACAAAAGGCTTTCCCACACCTGGCAGTCTGCAGGCCTGTGCCCTGTACTGTACCTTTGCCCCCAGTACCCTGTCCACCAGGCTTGTTATACAAGTAGATGTCCAAGTCAGGGAGGCCACCCTGTGGTGGGAGTGGATGCTGAGGAGAGAACAGCCACAGAGCACTAAGAACAAGCAAATGGACAAAACCCTCGGGATGGGTGTCCACAGTGGGGAACAGGGTATAGACACTCATGGGAACACAAGGAGACAGAGGTGGTAACAAAGACACCTGGAGGGCATGGGTGTATACAGGTCTATGGGCAAAAGTACATGGAGTATCTGCAGGAAACAGTCATGCTCACGAGTGAGGAGAGAGATGAATGCATCTCACTTGGAAGTGGTTCCGGCTGTTGCTGTCCGTGTACTTAGGAGAGTGCAGGAAGATGAGCAGGTTCTGCCGCAGATACCAGGCCAGGGCAGGAAGCCAGGGCCTGCAGGAGGGGGGCAGGGCCAGATGCAGGACCTCTGAGGGCAGACTTCCGGGGGGCTGGATGAACTAGAGTGGGAAGAGGAGGATACAGCTGAATGCAGAGGTTCCAGACTAGGTTGTCCTAATACCTGCAAATGAACCTGGGAAGGATGTTGGTACCTGGGAGGGAACTAACCTCCACATCAGCTGGTGTCAGCTTGCAGTTCCGAACAAGCATGACCGTGATGACATCCAGCGTGGCTTCATCCAGGCGCCGACGCAGAACTCGCACAAGCTCATCCGTGATCTCAGGACCTGGACACGGCCATGGTGGGAAGGTGGAGACACCAGTAGAAGATTCAGCTACTCCCATAGCAGCCCTTACACCCTAGACTCAAACAGTCTCCCACATACTGGAGGCAGTGTTAGTGGAACCACTAGGTTCCAGTTCTGTCAACTACTTGCTATGTGACTATGGATGCATGAGTTTCACCTCTCAAAGCCTCAGTGTTCTCATTGTAAAATGGGAATTATAATAGCACTGCCCCACTGGTTTGTTGCAAGATTAAGAGAACAGTCTTAGCCCAAGACCTGGCACATATTAAGTGAGCCATAAATACCAGGTGGAAAATCCATTTGCCCACTGGATACCTCAGGCTCAGTGTATCCCAAACAACCATCGTCTTCACCCTAACCCAGCCCTGCCATCAGGCTAGGAGTGCCACCAGCTCTCCAGCCACCAAGCTCCCTTTCCCCAGGTTGCACCTCAGTCAGCTGCAGCCCTACCCCTTAAACATCACAGGAGTCTGTCCTTTCCCACTCATCTCTTGCTTGAGGAAAGTGCAGAGCATAGCAGGGGGCCCAGGGCAGATTAGGAAGAGGCTCTAACAGAAGTCCCAGAGGATTCTGGAACCTCATCTGGTTATTCCCCTGCCCCTCTCACAGTCGTACCTGCCTGCCCTACACCATGAACCAGCAGCTGGATGTGTCTGTCCACTTGGCCCACAGGACGAGCAGCATCTGAACTGCGACTGGAGGCCATGTCTAAGGGAGAACGAGGACCCTACAGGGACAATAACGGTCAGGGCCCAGCACCAGGAAGCCAAGAACAAGGGCACATGGGGACACTGGGGAGTGGGAGTGATACATGCCGAGGCTTCCTCAGAGTAGATAGGCTCCTGGCTTCGGGACAGAGCCAGGGAAGGGGGCAGAGCATCCCCTTCCCATGGCCGGTCACTGCAGGACGTCTCCAGGAGCCTGGGAAAGAGTGGCAAGGTCTTTGGATTTGCCTCCTCCACACCATCCTTGACTCATGCCTTACCCCATCTTCTTAGGGCCCACATACCGAAGATAGTACACAGCCTTTGTTGCTCGTTCCTGATAAACAAACATATTCTTTCGGTTCACCACGGAGAAGGCATTAAGCACAGAGCGCAGGGCCTGGATGGCTGGGGGAGTAATGTGGGCTCAAAAAACACCCTTCCCCAGATCCTCCCACCTTCCAACTGCCCTCTCATGCCAATCACATACCCCGAGAGACCCCCATGCTGGGCCCCATTTTGAGGCGTGAATGGACTCGGATCACAGTTCCCCATACAACGTCACAGGAGAAATGACCAGGGACAAACTGCATTGTAGCTGCGAGGTACCCACGAGGCGCACAGTTCTCATCAGCAGCATAATCTGGAGGAAGGGAGAGCACAGATCAGAAACAGGACACACAGTCTCTGCCCTCCACTGACTTCTCACCTGGGAACTGGCCTACTTGTTCTCACTCCCCAGCCTCCCTGTCCCTATCTATTCCTCTACAGGGAAAGGATGATCATTTTGGTTGGGAAGACAGGGCCAGGCAGAGGCCTGCTCTTAGGAAGACAGGTCACAGCACAAAGGTTTCCAGAACTATCTCAAGAAGATGTACAAAAAGAGATAAGGAGAGGTGTGAAGAAAGGCAAAGCAAGAGGAAATCCTGAAGTTAACCCCAAGAAACTCTGACCCTATTATATGTCGATGGTACTATAACCCTGTGTTTTCACAGGAAGTTGCAACAGTAACCTCATTAAAACAAAAAGCGTTCCTTATATACACCAACTGCAGCTTAAAAATCTACTCCTCTAAGAAGGCTTCCCTGATACTTCAGATAGTCAGATCTCATAGCAGCCTCTATTTTTCCTTTCCAGGCTGGCAGGGCACCTTCCAGTAGGTTGAAGTGCCAGTCTGGTTTCCCAGAGAAGTTGCTGTCAGTATGAACAGCATCCAGGCTATCCAGGAGGCTGCAGTTTCTATGCAGACTCTGGAATGGAATGCTGGTTGCTAAGGGTTTCAAGGAAAAAAATCTGGAGAGACTACAATGAGGAAGAGCTTGTATCTGGGTTCTGACTGGTCTTATATCTCAGGTTGCTGGAAGTCATTTTGAAGTAAAAGTGCTTGGCTGTCCTAGCTCATTCACAATTTGCAGAGACACCTTCAAAACCATAGGAGTCCACTAATTATGGGGATTCTGCTTTGATATGGAGTACATCCCAGGATATGCTGAGAGATGCACTCTCCTGGAAATGTCAGAAACGTTTGTCTACAGACTAGCTGGGAATGTTAAAAATAAGGAGTGGTCTGATTTTACCAGAAGAGAGAACTGCAAAGGAATGACATGGTTTAGCGATTCCTCTATGAATTGGAGTGAGAGGTCTTCAAAAGTAATAGGAGGTAGTAGAGGTGTTGAAACTTCAATTATTATCATGAGTAGATTATCACATTTCCTCACAAAGACCAGAAAACCCAAAGGGATCCTGTGGTTGCCTGTCTGGAGGAACAGTCAATCAGAAGGCCAGTTCTACTGGCCCTCAAGATTCCTCCCCTCTGGTCTTCTTTGAACCAGCCTATTTGTTCTCATATCCCTGGGACTCCTCATCCCTGTCCATTCCCTGGCAGGGAAAGATGATCAAGTCAGAGCCAGGCAGAGGCCTGCCCTTAGAAACACAGGTCACAGCCTGGTGCCCCTTCAGTGATCTATTCCCTCTCTACTTACTGGCTCTTTCCCTGTGGAACCTGAACATGCTCTAGTCTCTGCCTTATTTAAAGTTCCTTCTTTGTCCCCATCCTCCTTCAGTCACTGCCACATCCCTTAACTGACAAGCTACTTGATAGATGCTCCACCCATCTATCATCTTCTTTCACTTTTCAATTTCATCTGGTTTCTATTCCCATCTCTCCATTGACGACACTACTTTCCTGAACATCACCGATGAACGCACAGCAGCCAAATCCAGTGATCCTTTTCTGTCCTTTCCTCCTTGCTCGCTCTCTATTATTTCGCACAGATGGCCAACTAATGGGGACTCTGCCCTCAGCTTCTCACCAAGGTATCGGATAAAAGCCAGGGCAGCAGCACCACCCCATGAGGGAGGCTGCTGGGTGGGATCTCACCATCACTGGGCAGTGGTGCCCGCTGACGGGAATGGAAGGGGGTCTCACTGCGCCACAGATCTTCTTCACTCTCAGCCACCAGAAGAGAGTTACACACGTGACTGTCATGAAGGTCCTGAAGAAGCAGTCGCTGG